TATATATATATATATATATATATATATATATATATATATCAGAGCTCTGCTTAACCCCAGCTCACCCCACTGACGTACACAGTACTAATACAGCTCCACCAGTAATTGTCTAGTTATGTATAGTAAGCATTATATTACTCATAATAGCTATTTAGTCTTGAACAAGAGCAAGGTAATTATGACGAAGTTAGACCTATATGTAATGGGGATTTCTTGTCATGGGAGGGACGTTTTCTTGTCATGGGAGGGACGGTTTCTTGTCGTGGGAGGGACGTTTTTCTTGTCATGGGAGGGACGGTTTCTTGTCATGGGAAAGACGGTTTCTTGTCATGGGAGGGACGGTTTCTTGTCATGGGAGGGACTGTTTCTTGTCATGGGAGGGACGGTTTCTTGTCGTGGGAGGGACGTTTTTCTTGTCATGGGAGGGACGGTTTCTTGTCATGGGAGGGACGGTTTCTTGTCATGGGAGGGACGGTTTCTTGTCGTGGGAGGGACGGTTTCTTGTCGTGGGAGGGACGTTTTCTTGTCGTGGGAGGGACGTTTTCTTGTCGTGGGAGGGACGTTTTTCTTGTCATGGGAAGGACGGTTTCTTGTCATGGGAGGGACGGTTTCTTGTCATGGGAAGGACGGTTTCTTGTCATGGGAGGGACGGTTTCTTGTCATGGGAGGGACGGTTTCTTGTCATGGGAGGGACGGTTTCTTGTCATGGGAAGGACGGTTTCTTGTCATGGGAGGGACGTTTTTCTTGTCATGGGAGGGACGGTTTCTTGTCATGGGAGGGACGGTTTCTTGTCATGGGAGGGACGGTTTCTTGTCATGGGAAAGACGGTTTCTTGTCATGGGAGGGACGGTTTCTTGTCATGGGAGGGACGGTTTCTTGTCATGGGAGGGACGGTTTCTTGTCATGGGAAGGACGGTTTCTTGTCATGGGAGGGACGTTTTTCTTGTCATGGGAGGGACGGTTTCTTGTCATGGGAGGGACGGTTTCTTGTCATGGGAGGGACGGTTTCTTGTCATGGGAAAGACGGTTTCTTGTCATGGGAGGGACGGTTTCTTGTCATGGGAGGGACGGTTTCTTGTCGTGGGAGGGACGTTTTCTTGTCGTGGGAGGGACGTTTTCTTGTCGTGGGAGGGACGTTTTTCTTGTCATGGGAAGGACGGTTTCTTGTCGTGGGAGGGACGGTTTCTTGTCATGGGAGGGACGGTTTCTTGTCATGGGAAAGACGGTTTCTTGTCATGGGAGGGACGGTTTCTTGTCATGGGAGGGACGGTTTCTTGTCATGGGAGGGACGTTTTCTTGTCATGGGAGGGACGTTTTCTTGTCATGGGAGGTCCGTTTTCTTGTCATGGGAGGTCCGTTTTCTTGTCATTGGAGGGACGTTTTCTTGTCATGGGAGGGACGGTTTCTTGTCATGGGAGGGACGGTTTCTTGTCATGGGAAGGAGGTTTTCTTGTCATGGGAAGGAGGTTTTCTTGTCATGGGAAGGAGGTTTTCTTGTCATGGGAAGGAGGTTTTCTTGTCATGGGAGGGACGGTTTCTTGTTATGGGAAGGAGGTTTTCTTGTCATGGGAAGGAGGTTTTCTTGTCATGGGAAGGTTTTCTTGTCATGGGAAGGAGGTTTTCTTGTCATTGTTTTCTTGTCATGGGAAGGAGGTTTTCTTGTCATTGTTTTCTTGTCATGGGAAGGAGGTTTTCTTGTCATGAGACGGCCGTTTCTTTCTCTCGCTGAAACACGGCTTTAGATACAAAGCTGAAGTTCTTATTCTTCATGCCGGATGTCTGAATGAAAGTCACAAGATGTAAGAACTCTTCAAGACTTTTTTACACTTACTTTTTTGCAGGGAAAGACTTATTAGTGCGGGGAGTGCAAGCACCTATCGCAGCCGCAGAACTAAAGTACTAGGACTCACAATGTGTAGGTTAGAGTGGGACTTACTCCCCCCCCCCCCACACTTTTCCCTTTGGCGTCAATGGAAATTTATGTTGAAAAATATATATATATATATATATATATATATATATATATATATATATATATATATATATATATATATATATATATATATATATGTCGTACCTAGTAGCCAGAACGCACTTCTCAGCCTAATATGCAAGGCCCGATTTGCCTAATAAGCCAAGTTTTCCTGAATTAATATATTTTCTCTAATTTTTTTCTTATGAAATGATAAAGGTACCCATTTCATTATGTATGAGGTATTTTTTTTTTTAATGGAGTTAAAATTAACGTAGATATATGACCGAACCTAACCAACCCTACCTAACCTAACCTATCTTTATAGGTTAGGTTAGGTAGCCGAAAAAGTTAGGTTAGGTTAGGTAGGTTAGGTAGTCGAAAAACAATTAATTCATGAAAACTTGGCTTATTAGGCAAATCGGGCCTTGCATAGTAGGCTGAGAAGTGCGTTCTGGCTACTAGGTACGACATATATATATATATATATATATATATATATATATATATATATATATATATATATATATATATATATATATATATATTTATATATATATATATATATATATATATATATATATATAATATTTATATATATATATATATATATATATATATATATATATATATATATATATATATATATAATATTTATATATATATATATATATATATATATATATATATATATATATATATATATATATATATATATATATATATATATATAATATTTATATATATAACCTCTTCCAAGAGGATCGAATCAGTTCATTGATATTAAATAATTATTAATAATTCGGTCCCAAGCACTTAACTATTATCTGAGAGGTTCAGGCGTTCAGGGAATTATGAACTTGAGTAGGACCTAATTAGGTACGAGTTGACATATAATGCTCGCATTTATTACAGTTCTCAGTAAGAGGGAATACATCTTAGGGGCAAGTAGGAACACATCTGTATGCTGACCCTGGTAAACCTTGCCGTCTTGCTCGAGTGACTCGCTTGTTCATTTACAGTTTGTAAATTCGACACACTTCTCAGGTCGTGGAGGTTTTTATAGCATCCCAGTTCTTAGGGTTTAAGGTATATATATATATATATATATATATATATATATATATATATATATATATATATATATGTATATATATATATATATATATATATATTTAATAATATATATATATTATTAAATATGACCGAATAAGTAAGATTAATAATTCTAACACGAATTTTCTCAATATTTCTTATATTTCTTTTCACTGTTGATGGTAATTGAAAAATCAATTCTCCAAAATTCATTTTTATTTCTAGTCTGACGCGACACTTGAACGCGTTTCGTAATAACTTATTACATTTTCAAATACTTTAGTTTACACACACACACAACTATAACCTGCAAACACTAAACAGAGTTTAAACAGCTTTGATTTTATACCTGCATTTGGGTGAGGTGATATGTTACAACAGTTTTGGATGAGGTGAAAACAAACTTTCAACACAAGACAGAACACGAAACAATGGGTATAATATTTTTAAGTTAAAGGGAAGAATGGAACTGCAAAGGGCCTATTGGCCCATACTTCTTGATGCTTCTATATTGGTGCGGAGTCTTGAAGTGGGTAAAATATAGTTGTGCATATAGTTGTGTCAAAGCTGTTTAAACTCTGTTTAGTGTTTGCAGGTTATAGTTGTGTGTGTGTAAACTAAAGTCTTTGAAAATGTAATAAGTTATTACGAAACGCGTTCAAGTGTCGCGTCAGACTAGAAATAAAAATGAATTTTAGAGAATTGATTTTTCAATTACCATCAACAGCGAAAAGAAATATAAGAAATATTGAGAAAATTCGTGTTAGAATTATTAATCTTACTTTTTCGGTCATATTTAATAATATATGTCTACAGGAAAGACTGCTACCAAAATATACTAAATATATATATATATATATATATATATATATATATATATATATATATATATATATATATATATAATGTGTGTGTGTTTTACCCATTAAAGTCTTACCTATCTTTTCTATCCCTAAGTCTTACGTTCCTTTACATGCGTTCATTTTTCTGAAGGATTTCCTATTTTGTGCCTTTTTTTAAGACATGGACAACTCTCAGCCGAGTGTCCCAAGTCTGCTATCTCGAGTCTGGCTCCATATAGAAACCCCGGTCATATCATTCCCTCGCCCCGTACTGTTAACGCTGATGGCAAACTCTTGCAGGTAGAAAACGCCGTTTCAATCACCCTTGTCGATATTTGCCTACGGGTTCCCCCAAAAATATTAGCCAGCGCTGCGGGGCTCCACCTACCCACAAATTACTATGCATCAGCACGTCCAGCCCCTTTCACCGACAGAGCGTATTCTAATTTAAAACCGAGATGATAAGAAAACATTGTCTCCTACGTTTCCTAACGCAATATAAACAGGGGAACAATAGCCCGAGTTGGGCAGCCCATCAGAACAAAAGAAACAAATGCCATTGACATAAAATCATTGAGCGGGCTTTTTAGATGACTGAAATGGCCGGAACAAACGGTACATGATAGTGCTAACCAACGTTGGGGTAATAGAGTTGGAGTCTCGTTGGGACCCGCCTGACAGCGCGCTCTATGGCTCCTTGCCTCTTGCCACTGTCTGAGTCGCGTTCGTATTTATGGCTTAGCCGGCCTGACAAATGATGATGTTTCGCTGATAGAGCGGAGGCCCCTGACGAGTTAAAAATAAAGGGGCGAAGTCGAAGCCGGCGACGCAAACGCCCCTCCGGACAAGCAAACAAATTGTCGAACTAGGTGGTCCCGGCGCTGTGAATAGTTTTGTCGCGCATGTGTTTTTCTTTCATTAATTCCGTGTTGAGAGCGAGGCTGTGCGCTAGTGATGAGCACTTGATTTGTTTTTGTTGAGCTGCCAGGATGGGCAGCCTGGCAGGCAGTCTTACAGGAGTGGAGCCAAGACGGACCAGTCTTACAGGAGTGGAGCCAAGACGGACGAGTCTTACAGGAGAGGAGCCAAGATGGACGAGTCTTACAGGAGAGGAGCCAAGACGGGACGAGTCTTACAGGAGAGGAGCCAAGACGGACCAGTCTTACAGGAGAGGAGCCAAGACGGGACGAGTCTTATGTGGAGTCTTACAGGAGAGCAGCCAAGACGGACGAGTCTTACAGGAGAGGAGCCAAGATGGACGAGTCTTATGTGGAGTCTTACAGGAGAGCAGCCAAGACGGACGAGTCTTACAGGAGAGGAGCCAAGACGGACGAGTCTTACAGGAGAGGAGCCAAGACGGACGAGTCTTACAGGAGAGGAGCCAAGACGGACGAGTCTTACAGGAGAGGAGCCAAGACGGACGAGTCTTACAGGAGAGGAGCCAAGACGGACCAGTCTTACAGGAGAGGAGCCAAGACGGACGAGTCTTACAGGAGAGGAGCCAAGACGGGACGAGTCTTACAGGAGAGGAGCCAAGATGGACGAGTCTTATGTGGAGTCTTACAGGAGAGCAGCCAAGACGGACGAGTCTTACAGGAGAGGAGCCGAGACGGACGAGTCTTACAGGAGAGCAGCCAAGACGGACGAGTCTTACAGGAGAGGAGCCGAGACGGACGAGTCTTACAGGAGTGGAGCCGAGACGGAAGAGTCTTACAGGAGAGCAGCCAAGACGGACCAGTCTTACAGGAGTGGAGCCAAGACGGACGAGTCTTGTGTGAAGTCTTACAGGAGAGGAGCCAAGATGGACGAGTCTTGTGTGAAGTCTTACAAGAGAGGAGCCAAGACGGACGAGTCTAGTGTGGAGTCTCTCACAGTGAGACTACAGCTCCCTGCTCGAGATTTAGCGTGATGCATCGCCGGGTTAAACTACAGCGACAGTGACAGACGCTGGACATTGTAGCTGGGGCTGTGGAAGATACATCTACAGGAGAGAGAGAGAGAGAGAGAGAGAGAGAGAGAGAGAGAGACAGAGACAGAGAGAATATAGATCAAATAATTTAGCAAGACAGACAGGATTCTCCCACTTCGCACCCGCAAGATAACGTATGTTTAAGAATTGGTAAATGTTAATCTCTCTCTCTGTGTGACGATGTGTTCACTTGAGACAGTCAAGTCCCAGCTGCGTCTGGGTAAAACTGGCAATATGAACACACCAGCAGGTTTTCTTCCTGTTGGGGGACGCTGCTCCTGGATATATGGTCGTGTGTTCATTCACAGGATGAGTGCACAATAAATTCTCGCTCGGGCCACAACTAGAATAATATAGTGAAGAGTATAAGAGGGTCAGGGGAAGGGTGTGAGGGGGTGAAGGGGGGAGTGATGGGGTGGACGAGCATGGTAGTGAAAGGGGGCTAGGACAGGAGGGGTTCAGTACCATCAGCGATTCACGATTGGGCAACACGGACAAGACCAATCGACTAATCTATTTCTTTACAGCCAGTCAAGGTTCCACTATCGGCTCCACACTGGGGAGACACCGTTTGTTCTGTTTGAGCTTGATTCTTGCGTCTCCGCCAGCACCTCGGCCAGGACGCTTCGACTACAGACTTTTGTTTCTTGGGCCTCCTTGAATCAGACCTTTCTTCAAATAGTGACTTTTCTTTATGTTGCTTTTGTTGCCTGTAAGAACACAAGAATATAGGACTCTGTAGAACGCCTGTTGGCCCAGACGAGGCAGCTCCTATATATATATCCATCTAAACTCATTCATATATATATGTCTTTCTAACCCTTGAAACAATCAAATAATCCCAGGTCTCTTACCAGGGAATTTGTTCCATAGATCAGGCACGCTATTTCCAAACCAGTATTTACCCAGGTCTTTTATGAATTTGAACGCACGTGTCATCTTCGGACTTGATGTGCATTGTTTAAACCTGTATTGTTAACGTGATGGTACAGCTTCCGTCCCGGTTAACGTGATGGTACAGCTTCCGTCCCGGTTAACGTGATGGTACAGCTTCCCTCCCGGTTAACGTGATGGTACAGCTTCCGTCCCGGTTAACGTGATGGTACAGCTTCCCTCCCGGTTAACGTGATGGAAAAGCTTCCGTCCCGCTTTAAACGTTGCTACAACGAACGGGTTTTGGTTCGGCGTCATTCACAGTCTTCTCGTTCGTTTTCCACTTTCCAGGAACGTATGTCACTTTCCAGGAACGTATATCACTTTCCAGGGACGTACATCACTTTCCAGGAACGTATGTCACATTCCAGGAACATATGTCACTTTCCAGGAACGTATGTCACATTCCAGGAACGTATATCACTTTCCAGGAACGTATGTCACATTCCAGGAACGTATGTCACTTTCCAGGAACGTATGTCACATTCCTGGAACGTATGTCACTTTCCAGGAACGTATGTCACTTTCCAGGGACGTACATTACTTTCCAGGAGCGTACATCACTTTCCAGGAACGTATGTCACTTTCCAGGAACGTATGTCACTTTCCAGGAACGTATGTCACTTTCCAGGAACGTATGTCACTTTCCAGGAACGTATGTCACTTTCCAGGAACGTTTGTCACTTTCCAGGAACGTATATCACTTTCCAGGAACGTATGTCACTTTCCAGGAACGTATGTCACTTTCCAGGAACGTATATCACTTTCCAGGAACGTATGTCACTTTCCAGGAACGTATCACTTTCCAGGGACGTACATCACTTTCCAGGAACGTACATCACTTTCCAGGAACGTATGTCACATTCCAGGAACGTATGTCACTTTCCAGGAACGTATGTCACATTCCAGGAACGTATGTCACATTCCAGGAACGTATGTCACATTCCAGGAACGTATGTCACATTCCAGGAACGTATGTCACTTTCCAGGAACGTATGTCACATTCCAGGAACGTATGTCACTTTCCAGGAACGTATGTCACTTTCCAGGGACGTACATTACTTTCCAGGAGCGTACATCACTTTCCAGGAACGTATGTCACTTTCCAGGAACGTACATTATTTTCCAGGAGCGTACATCACTTTCCAGGAACGTATGTCACTTTCCAGGAACGTATGTCACTTTCCAGGAACGTATGTCACTTTCCAGACGCGTATATCACTTTCCAAGAACGTATATCACTTTCCAGGGACGTATATCACTTTCCAGGGAAGTATATCACTTTCCAGGAGTGTACATCACTTTTCAGGAACGTAAGTCACTTCCCACGAACGTATGTCACTTCCCACGAACGTATGCTTCTCTGTGAATGTACAACTGCGTCATTTCATAGGAACGTAGGCCTAAATTATTGTACAAGAACGAAGTTCTGTTCCATTCCCAGAAACGTAATTCTGTTCCATTCCCACGAACGTCATTCTGTTCCACTTCCCAGGAACTCGGTTCTCTTCCACTTCCCAGGAACTCGGTTCTCTTCCACTTCCCAGGAACTCGGTTCTCTTCCACTTCCAGGAACGTCATATTGTTCCATTCCCAGAAACGTAATTCTGTTCCACTTCCCAGGAACTCGGTTCTCTTCCACTTCCCAGGAACTCGGTTCTCTTCCACTTCCCAGGAACTCGGTTCTCTTCCACTTCCCAGGAACGTCATATTGTTCCATTCCCAGGAACGTAGCTCTGTCGTACATCATTTTGTATACTTAATGTATGATTGTTCACTAAATACACTGTTGTTAACCTCACGATTGACGCTGTTGTTAACTCCACCTAAAGATTACCTTAAGGTTACCTTGCGTTGATTCCGGGGGTCAATGTGTCCGCAGGCCCGGTCTCTGTCCATAGGCCTTCTGGCTGATGGACTGGTCAACCAGGCTGTTGGACGCGGCTGTTCGCTGCCAGACGTATGCATCACAGCCTGGTTGATCAGATATCCCTTAGAGGTGTTTATCGAACAGCGAGTTGTTGTTGGTCGTCTTACTAAAAGACACTTTTTTAACCTCACACAATGCTATTATTTTGCTGTATTTTGTTGAAAATAATTAATAAATACAAATAAGAGAAAATAATCAATAAATACAAATAAGAGAAAATAATCAATAGTTAAAAATAAGATAAAATAATCAATAGATACAAATAAAGAGAAAATCAATAGATACAAATAAGGGAAAATAATGAACAGATACAAATAAGAGAAAACAATTTGGCCTTAATTGCTTAGTACAAGCCAAACTGCCGCGGATCCCCAAACGAGAAGTATAACTGTAGCTGTAGTTCCACTTTTTGAGGCAACGGCCGTTAGCTTCCGAGGTAACTGCCGGTGCCCGCGTTCGAAACAGTGAGTGGGGAAATGGCGCGAAACTTTTCCCGGGGACGGAGACCTGAAACGACCGTTGTTAGGGCCTTTACTGTCGGCGTGAATCACTGAAACTTGCGACTTTTGGCCCCCCACAAAACGAGCCGATGTGAACTGGTTGCAAGAGTACACACACGCCAGTGAGCGAGCCTTGCTGGACCGAACGAGCTGAGTTCGGCGCATAGTACTCTATACTGTGCGCGAGTCACAGGGCAACCCGTCCTCGACTCAAGTCCATTACAACTAGCGGTCGACCCCACAGACGCATTCATAAATTTTAACATGCTGTTCATTCAAAACAGGAATTTTCTCAAATATAAATTAATATTATGATATATTAGCATTTTGTGCATATATAGGTTAGGTTAGGTTAGGTGGTTGGGTTCTGTTGGCGATTATTTGTATTTGTAGTACCTGGGTGAAGCATTTATAGCGTTGTGGTTCGAACAAAATTCGTCAGTGAAGCACTTGTTCCGGAAGTGTTCGAACGAAATGAGTTGTGAGTCGTGTGTAACAGCCCGTCCTCCAAACAAAGATCCAAAAGTGATTCCATGCATCCGCCAAACCCTCTGTTTATGAATGAAAAACGGTTTACACACGACTCACAACTGATTTCGTTCGAACACTTCCGGAATAAGTGCTTCACTGGCGAGTTTTGTTCGAACCACAACGCTATAAATGCTTCACCCACGTACTACAAATGCAAATAATCGCCAACCGAACCTAAACACCTAACCTAACCTAACCTATGCCTATATATGCACAATATGCTAATATATTATAACATTAATTTATATTTGAGAAAATTCTTGTTTTGAATGAACAGCATGTTAAAATTTATAAATGCGTCTATGAGGTCGACAGCTGGATGTAATGGACTTGAGTCGAGGACGGGTTGTGTGTAAACCGTTTTTCATTCATAAACAGGGGGTTTGGCGGGTGCATGGAATCACTTTTGGATCTTTGTTTGGAGGACGGGATGCACAGGGGCAGAGTATTGTTTTGAAGAGTGAACGAGAGAAGTGGATTCTAAAACCCCTATACTGGCGTGAGGAATTATGACGTCACAAACCTAAAATACATACTACGTCACTTATCGTGACATCAGAGGCACAATGACGTCACAATACATATCTATGTTTTCTCCTACTTTCATTAGGTAAGGTTTGTTTGGGTTGGGTTTTTATGTAGTAGTGATGACGAAGAGTGGTACATAATTTTCTCAGATCATATAAGAACACAACGAAACAGTTCTGAAATGAACTAAACAATCTTAATGTATAACAAGAAGTGGGAGAGACAAGTCCGGGTGATTTAAACGTCCGCGTCGAAACGAGCCGGCCTGAGGAAGCAGCCCGTCCGCATAAACAAAGGCTCAAGCTCGTTAATCCAGCCGCCAAACCCCCTGTATACGATTGAAAAATGGTTTAGGCACGACTCACAACTGATGATGTTCGAACATTTCTCGAACAGTGCTTCGCTGACGTTCTCTGTTCGAACCACAATTCTATAAATGCTTCACCCACGTTCTTCAGATACAAATAATCGCCAACAGAACCTAAACACCTAATCTAACCTACGCCTAACTATACATA